ATTCTTTTAATTATAAATACTTGGTAATTAATAATTAAAATACTCTAATTCATCCACTTAACATAATCCATTGCAGATAAAACTTTAATTTCTATTCAAGTTTTCATTTAAATTCAATATTGAGCAAACGATATAAAGTGTTATAAAACTTATTCAACTAAATTGATAGCCGCCCTTTAAAGAGAAATATAGATAAATTTATTTCAGGTATCCAAGATCAGGCGGCAAATCCAATATTTGATAGGCTGTGCAGAATTAATAGACTGTCGATTACGCAAAAAAATACCTGTTCAATGCGATATTGCTTTTAAATTAAATTTGTGCTGCTGTGCGTCTGGCGTCCAATCTCGACTTCGCAGTCGATTAACTTAGGTTGCTTTTAATAGGAATTAGTGTATTGCATTTAGATCTATATTTTGAAATGAAATCTTTGTTAGCTTATATCTCAGTATCAACTAGATCTATGTTGCCAATATGAAGTAAAAAATAATTGGCTGTTTTATAGCGCTTATATTACTTAAAATACAAAAAATAATATATTAATACTAGCTGTCCCGGCAAACGTTGTTTTGCCATATACATTAATAACGATATAAAAATTAGGGGTTGGTGATAGAAGGGTGAAAATTTAGGGTTGTATGTATTTTTGAATGTCACATATTATAAATTTTTTCCCAAAAAACAAAAAAAATTATGTCAGGGGTGGACAACCCTTATCATTTAGGGGTATGAAAGATGACAGTAGCCGATTCTCAGACCTACTGAATATGCATATAAAATTTCATAAAAATCGGTCAAGCCGTTTCAGATGAGTATGGTAACTAACACTGTGTCACGAGAATTTTATACATAAAATATTTGAGCTATTTTTTTAATGGGTAATATATTGGAATGGTGCACCCGTCTGTGCTTATAATATACGCTAGCAGCGTTGTAGTGGTAGTGTAGATAAGACAAGCATGAATTCATGTCAGTTACCACATCATAACGACTCCATCAGGAATTAACCATGATAGTTTCTAGAAAGGACCGCGTGGTGATCAATAGAACATGGTTCATTGTTGGCAATGAAGCCACTAGTCTCCATATTAATGTTTATATGTATTTTACATAATGAAAACATGATGAATCTGTAGATATAAGACGTAAATAGGATAATTAAAAAGAATCATGATAATTAATAATAGTATCTAAAACTTGTGATTTCTGTGAAACAATGAAACGTTAAAACTTTAAACTCAATTATATGAATTATTGTTGAAACAAAAGAATATTTAAATATTCAGTAAGTAAATGAATTTAATAATCTCTATTTTTTGCTTCAAAACGTAATTACTAACAATTATGCCAGAACTCACAGTAAGGATAAATTTAATCTGTCGGTAATTAACGTATCAAATAGCTGTCTAATTAATCATTGTCGCGTATTATCGGAAATACGTGAGAATAGTAATCGATTTATTAATTTTACACCAGCACAGGTGATATTGTTATAGAGTAAACGCTTTTTGCTATCTACAGAGCCCAGAAGAAGATTATACCTGCCATCTTTAAACGCTCAATAGCCTGAATATTTTACAATTTACAATAGAAAGTGATTTGAAATCGTATAAAGAAAGATTTAAATACAATTTACATAAACGTAGAACAAACAATGTAAATGGAATGGACGCATTTACATACTTAGCCTTTGAATACACTTAGAAAAAGGATAATTTAATTCGATCAACAGGGATTGTATTATGCACACTTACTTATTTTTAAAAAAGTATATGAATTAGATGAATGTAATAAACTTAATATATGAATAATTGAATAGATTAAAGCACCTTGCAAACTTGCAAAATCTATGTATTCAATTATTGTAAGTTATTTTTTATTTCTGTGAAAAGTATAGGGAATATCATCAGATTTATGTTCACTAATATCTAAAATTTCTATGTAGAAATAAATCTTATCGGTCAGCAGTTTCCAAACAAGAAATCTCGGTGCTCCCGGCCCTGACAAAATAACTTTAGTGAGACGATCAACTAGTCGGTGCCTAATCAGTCTCTCTTCTCCAGACGACGACCTTTGCACTATATATTAGGAATGTTGCTGTGTTTGTACGTTATCTACATTTCTTGTAAGGTAACCCATTTATAATTATTACCTTAATAGAATGCTATTTTTTCTAAATAAAATTATTAACACTGAAGATATTCAACAATATAATATAAAAATTCAATATAGCTTAAAAATAAACATATGGTATGGTAATAAGTGGGTAAGCATGTAGGTAATATGTAGAAATTACCCAAAAGGAACATTCGAGATTTTCAAACAGATTCAAGCGCCATTAAACACTGAACGGCTAGACAAGCTCCAACTAACTAGCTCTTAAGCAACTCCATTTAAGTTAAATGTAAAATGGCGTCGAACTGATTTTCGCTTCGTTTGCTTTAGTTTTCATAAATGTTATATTTCAAGAATTTAGATTTAAATCTAATATGTCTGTTAAAATAAAAAAATATATATCTAATATTTATAAGAAGCTATAAGACAAACAAATTTTTGCGGCCAATTGGACTACAGTATGGGTCATATAATATGTTAGCCAACAAGCTGATGTATATAGAAACCGTATTTTAAATATGGAATCACTAAAGAACATTATTTGTATATGCATCATTTATAAAAAAACTTTAAGTAAAATATTGAAATACATAATTATTATTATAGTACACATAAAATATAAATTCGAAAAATGTAATTTTGAATAATGAATAAATATTTAGCGCCTACATTATTAGTAAAGCGTCTTGATCCAAAATGTCAAACATAATCCAATGTTTCACAAATAGATTTTCGGACTAAAATGAGCTCAGTAGCTGTGGTTTTATTACTTGTATTATGTAATTTTCTTCTTTGTTAAAATAACTGAGCTTGCTCGAAACAGACCTAATTTAGGAACAGAAAATGTAGGTATATAGAATAGTGAAACCCTTATGTACAAAAACGATCTGAAAGTCAGCCTTTTAACAATCAGTTCAGCCAACCTTTCTAATGTAACAAAATATAAAAGTTTGCTTTTATAATTTACGAAGATAATGACGTATTTTCACAGATGGGGGCAAAATTATTGATCCACTTTATATAAAATTCAGAGGAGAAATAGCCACACATACAGATACAAGTAACATACAAATAATATTTTGACAAAATCTGGCAGATTTCTTGCAATTGTAGTTTTATGTGTAAAAATGTATAAAAATCATTAAGTACATAATACTGACTCAATATTTTACCAAACTTAGTATTTACTCAATATCAAGTCCTATCGTGCCGTATACATATGTTATTTTAAATCATTTCAATTTTAACATTTATAAATATATCGCTGTGTCACGTCGATAAGTAATATACGACCGATTTTTCAATTTAATGTACCATTTACTCGGTTACAAATGTTTACGTGATTACGTCACGCTACGTTACAAAATAATCGTAATTCATGGCGGTTGGTATATATCAAACCTTTTACGAATTTATATTATTTCCTATGTATCCAATCTTATGTAGTATTTCCTAAACTCATACGATATTTATTCAATTATTCTACTATAAACAATAAAATAATATATGTGTACCTACAACAGCAAAGAAATAGCATTACTACACAGTTTGTAATCCAAAACCCAACATTGAATATAGAATATGACATCATCATAAAATCTATATGGATACCTTCCATAGTATATCAATAATCCCAACGGCCTTTCCAAATAGAATACAAAAATATGTATCTACCGCCTAAAAATACAACTCTCCGACCGCCCAGATATTAAATATAATAATTTATATATGTGTTTTGACCACTCCAAAAGAGGTCGAATAGAAATTGTCTGTATTTTATGCTTGTGTTCGTTATGTGATCGGCGAAACGTGATATCATTGTGACAATTCTATTTTAGAATAACTATTTTTTTCCTGTGTACTTTTATCACATATATGAAATACAATTAATTCGTTAAAAATAGGAAAACATAAATAGTAACTATTTTTACAACGAACCTTTGTGGAATTCTATACCAAAGAAATCTTTTGAAATTATTATAGTATCTAAGATTCTCTGAATAGAGTCTCTATTCAGGTAATTTTAGATACTGTAACGATTGTGTGACCTTATTCTACTATAACTATATAATCAAAAAGCTTCTATCATTGTAGTATTGTTACCAATTACCTACAACACATCTAAGTAATAATTATATCATACTGAATAGCTTTTTTCTTCTGCATTAGTTAAATGTTTCTTTAATTTTGTTATGAAATATATTATCAAACTTTCTATTAAAACAAATTGCTTATTTTCAGGTAAATGTCGCCTTAAGGATTTCATTTTTATCTTTATTTTTACGGTATGAAAATCTCGGGACAAATTGTTCTAATTTTTGTTCAATAAAAATATCCAACAAATCCGGGACGTGGTTGGAAACTTTACAGGTATTTCTTTGGGAAACTCACGAGATAAAAGAGTGTTGCAAAGATTCAAGGGAGATCAGGTATCTAAATGATCTTAGTATATCCAAAATTTTCGTAGTAAACAACTAAGCTAAAGTCGCCGTTCAAAACCCTTGATGTCTTTTCTTGAGTTTCTACTTTTATTGGGAAACGAATAAAGTACTAAAAGATTGGTAAACTCTTTGAGTTACTTTATATTCAAATTTATTGTACTCATTGCTTTGATTCTAGTTTAAAATATGTTAATTTTAAATTAAAATCCTATCTATCTAGTTATCTACATAGTTAAGTTTAGTTTAAACTAAACTATGTAAATATATAGGTACCTAGTTGTGTGTGTGTGCAAGTATAGTTATACCTAATTAACACTATCCTGATGACTCTGAATACTCATATTAAGTACAATATTATTCAATGTGATTATTAATTTATAATCATTAACTACAACAGTTTAGTGTAAACAATAAAATATTAAATTAAAGTATATTTCTTTTCAGGTATAAGTTGCGGTTAATACTGCTGGCTTATAGTGATAAAAACTTCTTAAGACTAGTGTTATCCGTGATGACAAACAAAATTATAGTGACTTAAAAAATTGTGCTCATAAAGAGGATGCGAAGGCGGGACGCGTAAATAGACATAAAATGACTAACTAGCATGACGGTGGGGAATTGACGTTTAGCAAATATGCGCAGTGGGTTAAAGATAATGTGGGGTATATAGTGTGAAGAAGTGTCGGGATGCAGAGGGAAGTGTGACGGTGGGCAGCTACCGAGCAGCGGATGCGGCGCGGCAGTGTATACAGCGTGAGCGAAGGCGTGGAGCGGTGCGCTTGTACTAGGTAAGAACGTTATTTATTGACTAGCAACCCGCCATTTCTTTGCACGGAATAAGATTTTTAATGGATTGTAATGGAGCTTATATTTTAAGTTAGAAAATACAATTCCATGCAGCACTCTTTGATTGATTGCTGTATAAATATACGGCAGACTGGCACACAGAAATTATATTTTTTTTTGTTATATAAGTCACTGTTAGGCACAAGTTTATCTTAGTACTTATAACTATAGTTTTTAAGTCATAAGACTTAAAAACTATAGTTATAAATTAGTTTCTTGTTAAAGTATATTAAGTTTATTTCAACAAAGATGATTTCTATTTCTTGTAAATGGAGTATTCCTTCTCTTATGTTTATTTATTTATATTTGTTTACTCTGCCGAAATCACATCATTCAAGAAACACAAGAACTTGTAATATTGTATTCTTACTTGAATATAACACGAAAAGACACAGAAATAGCTGATAACAAATTATTTCCGAAAATGTCCCTCGGGAACGAGAATAGTTCCGCTTTCGCAAACCGCGTGAAACAGCTAGTAATAATACAACTGTGCTCACAGCTGAAATGCCAGATGGATTAGTCATGACATTAATTAACGGGTGCCTGGTAATTCTTATAAATTTGGTCTAAAATGTAAAATGATTTAGATATCTTAACTACAGCCTCGTGAGAGCTGACAGTTAGTTACAAGCGCACTAATTATCCGGTCTGGTGTATATCCACCGGTAGTGCTAGATTAGGAATACATTATGAAATGCTGTGAAATTACAACAAACAATTTCCACTGTTAGACCAATACGAGTAATTTTACATATTAAGTACATAGAGACATTTTTTTCACTGAATGATCAATAAAAGATATTCAATTATACTTTATTTTCTCATGTGTTTATGTTACTTCTTCGTAAAACTCAACAGACTACGATAATTATTTGCTATTGTTAACATTTGTTCCTATATTGATTCCATAATCATTATTTTTTTAATAATACTACACTACACGAAACTTGATATACACATTTGGTGTTTTATAATACAAAGGATTATAGAGAATGAAGATAAATAAACCTTACAAATTAAATTAAATTTATTTTCCTTATCCTTGTAATTCCTTTCAGTGTAATTAACTTTATGTTATCTCCGACACATCAATTTATTAATTCTTCTGAAGTTATTATGAAAACTTGAAAATCCTATTTTAATTATTGATGTTTTTCAGAAACTATAATAATTTCCATCTGAATAACATATAAACTAAAACATACACAAACACTAAAAAAGTTTATTTGTAAACGATGTTATCATCTCGTGTTGCCTTGAGGGCAAAAACGTTTCTGCCACTTACCGTATTGACGGGTGTCAGGAGTCGATGTAGTAGAGTGATATCGGCTGATTGGCTGATCGATTTTCACCACACACTTCCAATTCAATGAACTGCCTACTCACAATTTCGCTCATGCCAGTTCATATCAATACTACCAGTACCTACACAAACATGGCGATGCCACACTGAGCCACAGACTACCCTATTGCTAAGTACAACATGTAAATTATTTTTGTTACAAAACTTTCTTATATTAATTACCAACGTTTAAAAAAATCCATCGCCGTATGTCTATGAAATAAATTTAAATATGTTTGCCATATTTTTACATGTACCTATTCCAAATTTGTTATTTACATTATAATATTCGTATACATTATTAAACACCATATAGGAAATGGTAAGAGTAGTACTCTAACAATCTAGTATTTGAGTGTATATATTTTTTTTTATTAGTTGTTTATTAGTTTTGTGTTAGTAATAATTATTTCTTGTACCAAAATCAGAAATATGAAATCGTATTGAATTATATTTCTCTAAATAATCATTTTGTCTGCTTACCTATTACCTATTCCTATAGGAAAAACACCTATTACAAATTTCACAGAAATGGAAGTCTATATATCATTTCACTGAAAGGGTTTTCATAAATATGACAGGTATGTTATCTGTAACTACATTTTAAAAGCTTGAACGATTTTTTCATCGACCTATAAACGTATACTGAGTAAATGTGCAAAAAGTTAATACGCAAAGTACTCATATGCTTAATCCCTAAAGCGAATAACACTCAGAGTATTAAGTGAGTAGAATGTGAATGATTCTAACGAATCAATTTGATTTCAAATATGTATAACTACTAATTTACAGTAAAATAATCGATTTGAAGATTTAAATTGGACCGCAATATTTCGTTTGAGATTAAATGCTCGACGGGATAAAGTACAAGCGACGCTTTACTACATTATATAAGGTCCTTAATTATGTAGTCCTCTAAATCAACACCAGCCATTCCCTTTCAACTTGGATTTTCCACAGTTCGTATGAAGGGTTCCCGTATTTCAGGGTTTGTAAGGTACAACTAAGCTATTAATCTTGCTTTGTTCAAGTACTTATAGGTGTAGAAAAAAGACGTGAAATGTTTTTCCGTAGCAGCGAACTTTTTTGAGATAAACGTGTGAATTATTTGAACGATTAAACCTATATTTCATCCATACTCTATACCCTCAATATAATAACCATCCACTTAATATATATGTATATATATTCATACTGCATTGAAATAACTCCTGAATTATTATACATTTATTTTTTATTTTGTGTGAGATAAAATAGCAAAACATTATTCTGTAAATTAAATTAATTTGTAATAACATTTTTCTGAAATATTATGGCAAAATATTTGTTACAATAATAAACTTACTACTTTTTTGAAGGTATATATCTATAACAAGTCATATACTATCCATTTATAAACTTTAATTTGTGTAGGGTTAATTCGACCTCACATGTAACATATTATGTACATAGATCAAATATATTTACATATATTTACATGTTTATATTATACTATTTATGTATAAAAATAACCAAATATGAAATTGAAAAACAACAGAACAAAATTACTAGTCAGAGATATTGCTACCGTTTTTAAACTCAGGACTAGGTCCAGGTCTAGGTAGTAACCCACTGCCCTTAGAATGAACTGACGCACTCGGTATGTTGGTTGTTACATGTAATGCTGTTTGTTTGGACGCAGGTAGCGCGGGCGCGGGTGCGGGTGCGCGTGCAGCCATGGCCGGCTGATGGAACCGGGCTGGTGGTCACCGTCGCCGTCGGCCTCGCCGCCGCCGCCGCCCCGCGCCCCGCCGCCCCGCTGTCGCTGTCGTCAGCCGCTCTCCACCAGCTACAACTGTTTACCGCACTATGGTATTTTTCATTGTTATTTACTTCACACTTTTTTTATTGTTCTATATAATTATACACATGTAAACGAGATATGTACCATGATAATATTATTTATGATGTGCTAGTTATTTCGCCACTGTTACAAACGTCCTAGTTCCGGGTCGACTGTGCGTTTGGTATCAGATTTGAACTATCTAGATTCATGATCTATAAATAATATCATCATGCTAAATATCCCATTTTGCTTAAAAACATTTATGGACACCATGATTAAGCACCCGATTTGTTATGCGATTTTGAGATCAAACCTATTTATCTTTACCTATTTCACCTGCATGAAATTTATAGCCTATGGGTAATCCTTAGTAATAAGCTTACTACTGTAAAGTTTCAATAAAATCCATTCAGTAGTTTTTGCGTGAAATATCCTCATATATTCTCCCTACTCACAAACTTTATAATAACATTTATAATATTAATAAGATGGGAAAGTGTATGTCTAATTGTTACCTTGTCAAAACTAAACAACTGAGCGGACCTTAATTAACCTTTGTCACGGGGCGAACAGGATAGGCTATCTGGTACCTCAAAAAGCAGACAAAGTCGTGTTAACAACTAATTATATATAAAAATATTTTTACGTCATCTTTAAAACTATGCCAACTCAGTTATTTATTGTACAGGGATCTCGTGATATTAAATTTATTACATCATCTACATGATATATATAGGATGAATAAATTACAATTCCATAAATAGAACATTTAGCTTCTTCAGTCTCAGTAGACATTGTCAGTCGTAAATTGTCCTTTCTGAATTTAGAATCAACAATTTACGTTATAATTACGACAAAAGCTCTACTCCTTCATCTTGAGATTCTTGGCGTTTATAAAGATATTCAGATATTATATTTTGTTTTAAGCATTGTTAAGATATATGTAATATTTGATATTATGTATTTATAAAAAACAAGGAATATAGTTGAAATTAATATTTGCAAAATTAGTACAGGACCACCATGGAATGTAAACCAATTTATGGCAAAAATATACTTCCACGTGTAACTAATCATAGTAAAATGTATATAGATAATAGACGACAATATTGACGAAAATATTATGTAAAACATAATACAAATAAATAGTAAACCCTTTTTAAATAACTGAAATACAAACTAACGTGTACAATTTGAATATGTAACCATAATAAAAAGTTCATTCGTTCTGTATTAATTTACTCTACTCATATTAGATTACTAATACTATGTAATATTATGTTATCTGTGCTAATACGTAAGTACGGCCCAAACACATCTCAAACTAACTTCCAAGACATAGAAAACACTCAGCCCAATACAAATGTTCTGTGGTGGAGCAGCAATACATTGACTTATAATACTATAAAATACTACTACTAGTACTATAAAGTATAATAATACTACATATAGTACTATACACTACATATACTATATACTACATATACTACATATAGTACTATAAAGTATAATAATCTACTATAGTTTGGTAGGATAGCAGTTAATAAACTGCTATCCTACCAAACTACTGAATACAACGATTAATTCGAATCTGCAATATCTACAACTTTAGTTACCTATAAATGCGTAATAAATAATATTTTTAATATAGATGCCATATACATGAAAAGTCCAAAAGAAGAAACAAATGTATTTTAATGGAATAATAATTGTAACTTGTTTTTACACAAAATACCTAGGCAGTCGTATTTTTTATATAGTATGGGGAAAACTGTTACACATGTATTTGCTCTCTGCTATGGCCTGTAATAAAATACACGAAAATTTATCTCTCTTGTATATTTAGGGTCACACAATTGCTGATGTAATTACTAGGATGTCAACCAAGCTGCTGGCTAATCCCAACTAATGAAAAGTGAATATCAGCGACAATCATCCACAATGTAATTGTTATAAAATATGAAAATCCATATACAAAACCCGACATCAGCTTTAGATGAACATTTCCTACAATGTACAATAAAATTATTTTATTTATTCACAGTAATAACTTAAGCAGATAAGAGCAAGCGAGTTAAAATTTAAAATACATCTACGGAACCCGATTAATGCGTGTCCGGCATACTGTTGGCCGGCACTGGTGTTGTTTTATTTATTATATTATTTGTTTTATTTTGCTTTAGGAAAAGATATACGTTAAAAGTAATGTACTCGGTTCACGAGGGAACGCCTACGCCTAAATACCATTACCGTTGATTGTGCTGATCCCGCCAAAAAAAACTTTTTTGGCAGAAGATACAAATATATCTGGCAAATTACACATGATTAATCGAACACCGGAATCTTACTCGATATATATTAAGCCATATTATTAAACTAGCAGCGTGGTATAAGATATTTTTGACATTTACTCGTTCACAAGAATCATATATGTTGACAGCTATCGTACGAAGATATTGTTACGTACATATCTTTATTTTCTATATATTTATAATATAATGTCGGCCTCAGTGCTCTAGTGAATTAGCACACCGTCATACTTCAGATGGTTACGGGTTCGATTCCTCGCGCGGCACAAACAATTATATTAATGAAAAAGGTTGTTTGTATCGGTCTGTGTATTTTCTGTATGTATTTACGAAAAAATCTATGTATTTGTATCAGTTATCTAGTACCCACAATATAAACTTTACCTAGCTTAACTTGGGTCTAGATGGTGCTGTGTGTATTGTCCTGAGATTATTATTATTAATGCACAATATTTGTGATTCTGACAGCGCCGTGGCCTAGGAACAAAACCGATACTTATGACGCGTTCAAATGTGTTGTTGTCCTTACAACAAAAAAACATTGAGTTATACATCTGAAGTTCTCTCTGATAATGAAAACATCAATAACGAAACCAAAAATTAATTCTAGAGACTGCAGTAGACTTACGTCCTCCACGTTATATTCAAATATGTCCAACGTGTGTCCCTGCTACCTTTTTCGGGGTAACAGTCGTGAAGGTATATTACGTTTGTATTTTATATTATGCGTTACTCCATTATCTAAGTACCTAATGTCTAATGCCTCTAAAAAATATGGTATTACTAGTAAGATGCCAAAAACACCATGGCAACTGCCTGTAATGTCTTAGATTAACGGCAGTCTATTCTATCCATATTCTAAGGTGCCGTATGGTATAACAAGAGAAGTATCTACTGCACTAATGTAAGTTAATACATAAACTGTAGATAAAATTAAAATATATCTAAAAAAAACAGTTCTTGCCACTTACATATACTGTTGCAGTATTGTAGTTTTTATAATATTAATATTATTAATACAGTTTTCTTTTTCATACTTGAGCTTACAATCGTTTTTCATGTCACATATTTCTAAGTTTACAACCATATTCTTCTACTAATGTAAATTATATTAGAAAAACAAAACACAACTCACAACACAAATGTAATGTAATAAAATATATAGATACGATTACATCGCCTAACCGAACGAATCTGAATGTTTAATATGATGTATATTAATATAATATATTTATATTTATTATTTTGTACAGACGGTTGGGGAGATGGTGAAGAGGAATCGACGGGTGGTGCGCTGCGCGAACGTGAACTACGTTCGCTACACCGCACCGTGCCCGCGCTGCGCAGGCGTGAGCTTGATACTAGGGCCATCAAACACCATTTCTACCCTGAAGGAGGATGGGGGTTTGTATCGATTAATCATTTTTATTTCTTCTATAACCGGCGTGGATACGTTTCCGGCTCACCTGATATTAAGTGATTACTGTCGCCTGTAACTTCCGGGAGTTTACATGTGTTGCTGGTCTTAAAAGAAAGATACAGGCAGGTAGAGTCACGAATCAAGGATCAGGAAAAGAATACCAGTGGGCGCGGATAGGCATCCGATCTCTGTGTTACATTGCTATCACTTACGGTGGTAAGTGAATATACGAGTACGAGTAAAATTGCACGATCAGATACAGAGTCCCGGTGGGGACTCTGTATCTGATAATAATTATAGTATGTTCGTACTCGTATATTTTTGAAATATTCACTTATACACGTTTTTAACGTATATTGTTATTATAACAATTAAAGTAGTTTAGAAAAATTTAAATTATATAGTTGAATTGACCATATTTAGTGATCTTATCTAGAATGGTCAAATGACCAACCGTTTAATATATCCCAAACTCGTGGTTCAACATAGCAAGTGTTCAGTTCAAGTTAATAATTTGATAACAGTAGACTAACTCCATCTCAACTCCTTAACTCTATAGGGGGCAAACACGATTTTGTCCGAAGAAGTTGAGCGGTCCCAACTTACTTGTAGATAGATATGTAACTACTTTAAATTAAAATTTCCTTGTTATAAGATTATTTAATTACTGAATTTCAGACGACCTCGGTGGTCCAGCGGTCTAGTACACCGCTTTACGACCGATGGTCGCGGGTTCGATTCCTCGCACGGCACAAACATTTGTATTCATGAGTATGATTGTTTGTATCGGTCTGGGTGTTTTCTATATATAATATGTATGTATTTACAAAAAAAAATATCTATGTATTTGTGAAAAAAAAAATTTAATAAGCAGTAATCGATGCTCTAGGTTCCAAACTTGAACGTACTTTCGTACTCTTCATTTCTAAGTTTGTTTTTATATCAATTTATCACAATATGTTACTTAAGAACGCTCTGCATTGATAAATATTGTACATTCGTATTGTAGAAAAAGATCATGAACTTGAATTATACAAAGATAAACAATATTTTTTAATACTTACGATTTTGGCAACTATGCCCGTGCAATTTTACTATGACAGCTGTGCAGTAAGCAAGCAAGACATAATTTATCATGCATCTGGGACACTATATTTCTCCTTAAAAACGTCGCAGAATAAAGCGGCTAAGAGATTGCATGGTAGTAGTGAGGATCGCCAACATAATGTACATTTAGATGTTTATTTATATATACATTATTGTAAAATTCATACTAAAGAGATTAAATATGTATGTTTCTACTTATCTATTTATTATATATTATGGTACCCTATCCACTACTGCCGTTAATATAAATAATAAAATATTTTGTTGCCAAAATAAGTAATTAATAATACATACCACATAAACCCAACGCTTTGACGTCTTTGATAGGCTATCCTTATTTATTAGGACCATAAGTTAAGATTAGATAGCTACAAAATACATAAAAACCGGAAAAAATGGATGGATACGTGTCATTAAAGATAATAATATACATAAACTCGAGTATGACGGCTGATAGGGATCACAGGAAAAGGAAAACATACTGCGCCGACCCCAAATAATGAGACAAAGGCAAGGCGATAATGACATAATGTAACACACATGCGAAGTACGGAAAGAGAAATTGTCTCTTCCCGTACCGAATTACAATATGCTTTCAACATTATATTCAATTATTCAGTATAGGTAACAGTAATTTGTTAGAGTAGTACCACGACAGACAAAATGTATCTCACTCCATATTAGTTAATCACCTGTAGTTAATGGATTACCAGCCTACACGATGCACAAACGTGTAAATATTATCACTAATATATTTTGTAGGTTATATTCACTTTTAGCCAGTTTCATAGACTTGGAGCAAAATATAGATAAGAGATCCACACAATAAATTTACCTACCTGAGGGGAATTTATGAATTTGATATCACACGCCGATCTCATCTCTTGAACGGTAAACGAATTTATATTTTCGATAGGTATTTTCATCTCCGTAGCTGTTGCCTTACACAAATGTAGATACACTTTAATTTAAAATTACATACACAAAAATTATGCACAAAAACTTGAGATGTTAAAAGAACAATACCTATTTATTATTAATTAAAAGATGGAAATTTTTCATTAAAAATTATACTTGGTACATAGATCCTAGTTTTGCCTAACTACCTTATTAGGCAAAACTAGGATCTATGTACCACTAATGAGAAAATATCGCGCAACGGCAGTACCAGATTAGTTTAGTGTAATAAGTTTTTTTACAATTATTTACAAATTGTATATCTTATATAAATGTTTTCCTAGAAAAAGGCTCAGAAAGCGGGTACACAGATTTGTATACTCGTAATAATTGTTTACATTCATCACCACCTCTAGTGTACGCGTTACCAAAACGTTTATAACAGTATCGAATTATCGGTAGATCTTAAATATTATTATCGGTGTAAATACATATTTCGTTTATATAGTGTATACAATAATATACTTATTATTAATAATACTACAAAACTTAAATAGTTTTTTTCTTTGTAGCATTTTAATAATTATTTTTCTGAATAAAAATTCTCCTAGATTCAACACAATTTCAGAATATATTTTTTAATATTAGTTGGTATTTGGTTACAAAATTAAATTCAAACAATAAATTGTGTATTATCAACGTACAAAAGAAAAAAAACAGGAGGAGATAAATTAGATATTTTATTTAGTTCTAATTCTGTGTGAATTTTTAGGTGGATCGTTTGTGGGGCAGCATTCCTTGCTCATCTGTTATCCACTGGTCTGCAGCTAGCCTACGGCGCTCTTCATGTTTACGCTCTAAGGCATTTAGGGCCGACTGCAGATCATGCCGGTAAGTTCCAGTTGGTTGATATTGTGCATTGATTTGATTACGCACGTTATCATACATATTCATCACTTTGTGCAAATATTGAATTTGCAGTAGAAATTCAAATTTATTGCTGCTGTAAATTCAATTTATGGTTTAGTAGGATAGCTGATTGCATGTCGATATTTGTATATATAGAAATAATTTAGGAAATATTATCACTAATCCTGACAGTTAATTACTATCTACTTATAATTTCATCACATAATACTACTTCCATATAATACTAAAACCCTTTAGTTTAATATTAATAATAGCATTCTTCGATAACAATCACGTTACGTCTGTCTGTATATCCGCGTATCATATAACATAACTCTGTCATAATTCTGTACTTCCTTAATAATATTATTATATTTGATACTTTAGGATTCGGGTGAATCTAAGTCCTATATAATTTCATAGAAGTCTTTACCACATCCTTTCTATGTTGTGCGAGGTTTTTAGTAGCTAGACACACGTGATAAATAGACATTGTTAGGATAAAAATAGGGGTACTTATTGAACCCTAAAACCGACAAAGCTTCAATGTGTCAAATAAATGGTCGATTGAAGTAGAGCCGGAAACAGTGGAAGTGGATGGGCAACTGCGCGACACGGAAAGTAATCTATCAACGGTAACCCTCCGGTAATATTTAAAGAAACAAACAAAAACAGAAGACTATTTAACACTACGAGCCAAATGAAAGCTTAAGAATATTATGTAAACGAGTTCACCTTAACCATTTTATATTTCGAAGATTTCTTGAAAGGCAATTTAATCAAACATCTTTATTATTCCAATTTGACTACATTTTCATAATAAATCATTCACGAATATCTTTTACCCATCTACAAGAGAAAGGAAGGTAATATTTATCATATGTACTATATGTTTGAAGCCATGCTAACTTAAATAGCTAACATTTAAATTAATGTGATGACATTAGATACGGATTACGATTTTCATTTTCATTTTATCAACATCACAATAATTAAATTAAATAATGTAAATCAAAATCTAAAGCTTTTGAAATGACCATGCCTGTTAATTTGTCTCACTACTTTAACCTTGCAGTCTGTAAATCTGTATAATCGAAATTTGACTTCTTCACGTTCACTTGTTATTTAACAATGTTTTTGTATCATGACGCAATTTACGCTAACAAGCCGCAGTGTTTTGACAAGTAAAATTTAAGATTGGATATTAAGCAAATGAACTTTCCCAGTCACCGGCGGTATTTGCGACCCCACCCGCCTGATTTATTGAATTAATTTTCCGAGATTCACGACATAGGCTGAATATTAAGAGGTAGAAGTAATTTCGGTTATGAACGCGGTCTTTGTTGTCAGTGGTTTCATTGGGCGGAGCGGCCGAACATAACTCTGTCACAATTGTACCGCCTTAGGAATTATTATTTGGCGAGACGTTAACGAGTTAAGCTACCCTACCTACGTTTGCCTTGTTGCTGTAGGTGACAAGGCGTGAATTGCAGAGCTTAGTGAAATGAGTTTAATGTAATTACCTTCCAGATGGATAATAATTAAATATTAAATTGATGCTAATATCAAGTGAATATGTATCTAAATACTGAATTGTAACTAATTATGAAGATTACGAAAAATACTTTCGTAATTTTTATAATTACTATTAAGAAATTGATTTAGTTTCATACGTTTATATAATGAAAACAAGAAGTAATAATAAAATATAAATAAATAGTACACGCATTTTATATTTTCACTTTTATTCGTAGGTATTGTTTAACGAATTTGACTTATAATTTCATATATATATGTTGTTGTATATTATAGCCTAATTATGCTAATAAGATTATTTATTTTGTAACATATCCCTCAAAATGATAGTCATAAACTAAGAAAGCAACCGCTACTATACTATACTGCATCATCGATGTAATAAAAAAATATCTTATTAATGAAATTGACAAGAAAAACTATTCCACTAAAACTTTCGAGACGAGAAAACGGGACGCGCTGGGACTAAAATGACGTAACCAAATAATCCAACTCTATACTAATACTTACTTTCTTAAAGCTTATTCACCATCCAACGAACGGTAGCATAATATTACAATATATGAAACAATAATGGTAATTCTACTCTGTATCGTGTTGTTTACAAGACGTAAATGTATTCATAGTTGTTGAAATGCATAGTTTACTCAAAACTTTTGTTGGAAGATTTATTATTATGTTTGACTATGTTAGATTTTTATACATAATTTCACTCGAACAAATTTGTTGATATTACCTAGCCATCAAGTAAGTATTTACTTATCTCAATTCAAATAAATAGAAACGCGTATGTAAATATGAATATGAAGACAATTCATCCATTTTTAAACATGATGATCTACTACATTTACCGTACAGATTATCAGACTCTAGATGTCATTTACGCAAAACAATATTACCATACAAATCTTCAAAATAATGTATGTGTATACATTATTTTGAATACAAATTACTGTATAACTTATAACCCCATATTTGTTTCCATCTTTACATTATACACCAATAATATGTAGTCCAAACTTAAAATGTCTTCATTCCTTTCAATAGACATATACCAAGAAGCGTCTAAATTTATAAGGTACATTATCGCATAGAAATAATAAAATCCAAAAACATGAATTAGTATTTCCTGGCGCTTTCACTTTCACAACTTCGCCAGAGAATACTTATATAGATTTTGTTGTCTCATTTGCAAATATGAATAATAGTATTTTTTTATCTGTATACTATTTCTTGTGTAGGGATCAGTCCCTAATATACAAGTATCTGGCTACATAAGAAGATACAGTAGCCGCCGAAATGCGGCATTATATCTCTGTGTTCTTTTATATCTATATATGTTATTATCTCTTATTATATCTATATTATTGTCAATGCTTACCTATATATGTTTAATAAATCAAATTTCTTAAAATTTACAAAATCTGCTTAAAGAATTTAATACAGACCTTACATAGAAGAATTCTTTAAGTGATCTAAACACGCGGGAGCGTGTCCAAGCCAAATTCAAGTAAGAGAACTGGCGTGCAACACCGTGTGTTAGTAGATATAACACATGTTCACATTTATAATATTATTCATATTTTTAAGGGCTAAATACAATTTATAAACTACAATATATACATATATATATGAAACAATCGACTAACAACTCGTTGGAAGATAGATAAAACAAACGAATTCTTATGTTTCCAACTTAACCGATACATTGAAAAGTAACTTACAAACAACAACTGCCAAAAAACAACAATTCCGCATTTCATTCACTCACAATTACCCTCCGCAAATGGCTCAACATCCGTAGTTGCGTCCTCCTATTTAAATGTAGTAATAAAATATGAACATGGAAACGCACTTTTTGTTTTCATTAACGACTAAATTAAAAGATGGAAAGCAAGTAAGGAAATAAATTATTCTTAATGTATTATGTTTATATATAATACAGCGAAAACAAAAACGATTAGCTAAAGTGGAAAGAAAAGATTGAGGAACATATGGATGACAAAGAAGAAACAATTTCAACAACGACAATGAGAGTGACAATATTTATAATGCACAACAAGCTCTCACCGATGGTAATTGCGTTAAGTGAAACCCTGAAACGGCTGGCTTTATTTCCGAAATTACCGCTGTCTCACATTTAGGCTAATGTATTTTAAGAAATATCTCTCGTATTCTCAATTAACGTGCTAGCTGTAGTACCAAAGAAATTCTTTTGAATGGTATTATGTATAGTAATTTACCTCAGTACTGAACAATATTGTACGAATTTACCACATAATAAGAACACGGAAGATTCTGTATAAATATCGTCCACCGGCACGTCCCTTGCTTATAATGTCGACAACGGTGGTAAATAACACATGATGTTATAGTACCTAAGGTCAATTTTAATTGAATACTTTATTGATAGAAAACAGAAATAAAAGTTAAACAATGAAAATTAAAATTTACTAATATTTAATCATTTTAGTTCTCAGCTTTCGAAACAATTACTTAATGTTCTATCGTGTTCCCGTCATATTTAATTACGAGTATTACAAGCTTCCATTTTTCTTCTCATTTTTGTTACTTCTTTTAAATAAACGTTGGGGAATTGTTTTACATTTCGTAATGATTAATTCATCGTTGATTTTAATGTTAATGTTCCTTTTCTGTGAAGTTTGGGCCGGAGCAATATGTGTCGGTGTATCCCGAGCAGCAGGCGCGCTTGTTGCTGGTCGTAAGAAGTCACCACGATTGGCTGCGCTCTTAGGAGGATTGCTGTTACCTCTCGCCTGCCTCTTCACATCATTCGCTACGCAACTCCATCAGACAATGCTTAGTTATGGTATCACAATACAGATCGTTTATTATTTTAATATTTTTTAATTTTCTTTAAGATATTCAATATTGGTGTTCATTACTCGTAGGTTGTTAATATCAACCATTTCATTAAAACTTTACAAATGTAAGGATATTTTTTAAGCAATAATTGTAATATAAACTTAAATGTTTTAAACCTTTTCATTTCATTTCAATGTAAATTTGTATTCATATGTATAATTTTATTAATCAAATTAGGCAGATATATACATTACCTGTACGTATTACAGGCGTCGTGCTAGGCATAGGCTGTGGCTTGGTACGCGAAGCTGCTGGCCTGGTACTTGGTGCCTACTTTCGTCGAAGACGACAATTTGTGGAACTAGTCGCCCATGCTGGTGGGGGAGTCGGAATTGCTCTCTTTAGCGTTGCATACAAGGAAGCTGTAGGGTAAGCTTTCATAACCTAATTAAGATTAAACTATAGAAATAATAACCATTTAATTATAATAGTCTATTCTACTGTGTGTATTAGTAATATCTATAATAACCACGTTATTTTTAATAAAGCGACAATGTTACTTTTATTCATATAATCTCTAGAACAACTACAAATAAGATTTAAAAAAAATATTTATCTTTACAGCTAAAGTACAATTAATTTTAATTATAATTATCATAGTGAACTGATTTGACTAGTTTCATATACGAGTATGTAATTAATAATTATGTGATATTGTTTTGTTGTAGAAAACTGGGATGGCGACTAGGTTTGCAAGCAGTGACAGGAGTCCTCGTACTAGCCTTCTTTCTAAGCGCTGTTTACCGAAGTGCCTCTCTCTATCATCCCCAGAGACGTGCCATTCTTCATCTTAAAAATCAACGGCGAAAGGTCAGCACAATAATTCTCAATTAATGAGGAAATAAGTTTAATATATTTTCTTCTAATAATTTTCTTTGGCATTAAAATTAGGGAAATAATCAAGGAACAAGAACACTGAGCTAAATTTATTTGCTGGATTCGCTTTTCATTATAGAGATTCTGGGTACTTTAAGATTCCGTCATAAACACAAAGCTTATTAAGAAATTGTTCCTTCATTTTCAACGACGAAACTGTACTCTCAAATAGCGCTCTTGATTAAAGGAGTTGACTTATACATATATAATTTATATATTACACTCATAAAAACAAAGTTATGAGTTTATGTTGTACATGTATTATCATTGTAATGTAATATAATTTTAATTTGTAGATAAGTATTCTATGTGAATGTTATATAATTTGTAAAATTTTTTATGACAGGTAAAAGAAAAGAAAGGCCTAAAGAGACCTCCTCTTATCGACCTAAGCCCTCTCCGTTCTCGGCCGGCAAAAGTTTTGTTGTTGGCCGCTGGATTAGCAGCTTTTGGGCTTTATACTCCAGTTTTCTTTTTGGTAAGCTGATATTACTATGTAATTATTACTTTTTTCTGTTGCTCACAATATTAACCGATATATTTTTTTAGGCTTTACAAGGATTTCAAGAAGGTTTAGAGGAGAGTGCATTGGTGTTGCTTCAGACATTTCTGGGGTTCGCCGCAGTCCTCGGTTGCGCTGGCTTTGGGCTCGTGCTGGTGCGACCGTCGGCTCAGTGCCTTGTCTCTAAACAATATTTGTGTCAAACCGCTATGCTGGGAATAGGTAAAGAACAATATTCCATTTACTATACGCAAATATATTTCTCTACAATTTTTAATTTAATATTGTTCATGTTTTGTCGTAGGGATCTCCATGCTGGCCTTAAGCAGCGTTGAAGGTTATCACGGATACGTTCTATTTGCATGGATGTATGGATTATGTTTAGGAGGCTTTTTATATTCAATAAAAATGCTCACTATGGAACGCGTTCGAGGAAGACATTTTAGTAAAGTATGGGGTATGTATTTTGCTTATATGGCATTTTATTAATATAATTGGACATTTTACAATCAAATTAACATGTTTAATGTCTTTCCAGGTTTTGTTCAAGGAGCTGAAGCTATCCCTGTGATCGTCGGTGTACCTGTAACGGGATACATCAACCAGCAAGCGCCAAGGGCTGGATTCTACTTCTCGACTGCAGCGACACTGGCCGGTGCCTTATTATTATTCTTTGTCGGGTTCTCGAAAAGAGAACCGGAACCACCGCCTCCTGCACCCGCCCCTACTATATCTGAGGCCTGTCCGTGTGTGACACCCCCGCGCTGTGAACCAGCATGGTGTGCGTGTAGCGCAGGCGGTGCTACAGCGTACTGCGCTTGGCCGGGCCCTACTTGCGGTTCTCGTTTGCCAAAATCATTGTCATATGCAGCACCACTCGACCGCGTTTGCTGTTCTGCTGCTCACTGCCCAGACTGCTATCGGCGCACTGTACCTTTGAGACCTTCACGCAGTGTTCCTGAAGGGTTAGCAAGACGTGGTAGTACTTGGAATCGTGGTGGCTCCTGCAGAATGCCCTGTCGCAGGCGTGAACATCATCTCATAGAACAAATTACTACATCGGTATGATATACATTAATGAGAAGCCTCGAGTATTTTAATAAACTCTGTGCATGGTGTAATAAGGTTTTGAAGAACTATAATATAGGTATGAATGCGACAAAGCCACAGGAGTGAGTACTAAAGGCGTGTAAATAATTAATTCTTATGTAGATGATATTCTTAATTGGGGTCGAAGAGATAGATTAGTTCTGAAAGCAATAAAAAGAGAACGATGTTTCTGTGCTCCTGAGTTCTATCCTCGCCTCGAAAACTGTACCGTGAATTTTACCAGACATATATTGTCTATTTATGTGTATTTATAAAACTTCACTATAAATTCACAACTAGAAGATCTTGAATTGTATCCATCTATAGTATATGTACACTGTATCGTATATTTACAGTGGTACGTATTTTTACATTTCAAAAGTAGACATTGGTTGATTGTATAATAAAATTAGCGCTCATTTTTTAAGTCTTGAAGTACTTGTGGGACCTTTATCATAGTAGTTGGTACTAATATATTAAAATAATAGAAACCAAAAAAATCTTAAATCTTTATGTCCTCATTGTCTTGTACGAAAATATTATATTGTAAAATATCATCAACACTAACTTAAAGTTTCCTTTATACTCAGTGGCTAGTATTATTAAAATCATTAGATGAATATAATATGTATCTATATCATTACTCTGTGTTATAAGAAAATAATCGAGTCAATTTTAGCAAATTATTCGTTATATTGTAATACATCTTACATAGATATGTTTTTGGAATGTTTAGTTTATTATTGTTAACAGAATATTTTATTGTTCGTTAGATGTATGTAATTATATTTTTGATGTTATGCGATTTGTTGTTTTTTACCAAAGTGTGATTTACAATCTTGGTGATGAAATCAAATGATATTAAAGAAATTTAGCAAATAGCTGTGTTTATTTATGTTCCTCACAAAAATATTTGTAATTAGGTGGGACAACAATTTTGACACTATTTTACTATACCACTATAATTGAGAATAAAATATAAAAAGACTCCAAATGCCAAAAAAAATTGAAAAATAATTTAATCAGAAATGTCATTTAAAAGACAAAAATGCCAGTACAAATTTATGTAGGTATGTTCTACTTAGTAATTTGCGTCAGTAGGAAGATTTAATGGTAAATACAGAATACAGTATTTATAAATGTTTAATTCTTCGCACGCTATTTATTGAAGTATCGGTTTGATATATCGGTGCTAATTAGTACAGAATCTAAAGCAATTTAAGTAATAGAAACCATTGTTATAACTTCTTTAAAATCCTTTTTAAGGAATAAAATAATATTACAGAATTCAGTTGAAAGACACTGCTATTCATGTAATAAAAAAAATACTGATGTTGGTACTTGATAGATAAATTTCTATGTACCTAGATACGAACGATTCGCCAACGTTCATCACTGATATCGATTCTCCTTTTTCTACCACTGAATTTTGGCAATGCTATCACAGAAATCCGATTTACGCTGTGATTGTATCTACATTCGGAATAAAGATGAAGCCCGAAATAAGCTCCCGGTTTTATTAAGGAACGGACACGTAAAGGTCGGTATAAGTTTCATTTAATGTTTGTTCTGTTGTACAATACCTACATATTTGTTATTTAAGCAACACAGCCAGCTTCTAATAAAGTTGTAACCTGTAATATAAATGATCACAAATGGGATCAAAGAATCATTGACAACTAATGTCTTTACAATGTACACTTGAAATGCCTTGCTTTTAGCTAAAAATACTTACCTATTTGATTTCAACGGTGCAACAGGCAATCTTATCTGAAATTAATTTGTTTTTGTTTGTAATTGGTGTTTTTAACAAACGAAAGGTTGATTCAGTTAACGTTTATATTTTTTTAATACTGGCATATTCGAGAAATAAACATAAAAATAGGAATAATTTCTTGGTTTATAGTTTCTCGAATTCAACATATGGTAATAGTCTCATGCACACGCTTAGTTATTAATGGCAACGGCTCTCAAAATCTCAATACCCCATAGAAACTCAATACGCTTGTAGTACAGATTAATGAATCTTCATAAAACGTGATCGGGTTTGTAATGACAACGTCCCATTTAAGAGAGTACGTTCTGTAAAACTCGCACCGTCTAAATTTTCTAATTAAGTTATATAATTTAATCAAGGAAAAAAGTTTTTTTTTACTGGAGTGGCAAACAGTCTAACGGCCGACCTGACGAAAATAATAATATAGCAACGGTCGCTTATAATCATGGACAGCACCGCGGACATCACAACCTTACAATATCATACATTGTAATATTACTGCTATATCTGATCCATCAATTCAAATCAGAACTGACAAAGCGAACTCCTTAATTTGTATGTATTTGCCAAAAATATGTATGTATTTATATCAGTTCTTTAATACCCATAACACAAGATTTGCTTGGCTTAGTTGGAAACTAGATGTGTGATTTGACCCGAGACATACACAACTATTTCCGTTATGGTAAAATTATATACCTATTTATGTACTATATATAATTTTATCAAAATGGACACCAACCTCATTTTATGCAAGATCTTTAAACAACAACAATTCCTTAAAACAACCTCGAGATAAAAGCTCGGGAACTGTTCAATGTGTTTTAAGTTTGGTACACAAAGATATCCACAGACTAAGATCCATTTTAACATCTTTGTCACGTATGCACGTACGTTTCGCCATCTTTACTTTCACTAAGTGCTAAAATGGGCAACATGTTGAATGAAACTAGATCTGATTTCAAAATAGAAATTGACACATCAATGCTTATCTATTATTCAAGATTTTCATATGGGTTGACATGACGTAACAAATAAATTTGTTTAAAAAGAAACTTTAAACATTTTACTTCTCAACATACCTCTCTAAATCTATATAATATATTTATAACGAAATTACATATACGAAATTCAGCAACACTCTCACATTTTGTGGAACTGTAGTAGTACAAACTATGCCTGGAGATGTAGGTACATCTGTAATAGGTATCACAAATAAGAGAATATAATAGGGCATTCATAATACCTCACGCAGGGGGGAAAGAGGATTGTTAGTAATGTGGACTGATGACTGTAATGCTAACAATGTACCATGTCAGGTTAACCTTCACGCGATTTCCCCTAGAAATTATCATGATAAATTCCTGGTGAATTTGTCACATTGGCTAACTAACCTAACTAACTAAATGCTCAATTTATCCATATAATTTACATCCACTAGTGTCTGTTATTAAAGAAATATATTATTCCTTTTCTGCGATGATAGGACAGATATCTATTATTTTCCTGATGTATCTAATATTACTATGCATATGATAAATAATATAATGAAATAGTATGTAAACATAATAATTTAGTATTCAGGGCAGAGTGTCGTCCATCATAACCGTTCGTAATTAAGACGAACGCAAGCAGCGTGTGCCGAATATATTTGCTAAAGATTATGGAAATCTACCTTCACTCCATCCGACCTCGCACCTCATCTGTAATATGCACATAAATATTTCCATTATCATTTTCATTCATAAAGGATTTGTGAATAAAGCTATTGGTTTCTGTTAAATAAGTCTCGCTTTTAGTTACCGATACATAAATAAATAAGGTAGTACATAAATAAAAGTAGGTACGTTTCTTCTGAAATATTTGAGGTACTTGCTGTAATCCAAGATTATAATAAAACTTACGCCAGAGTGAGTTATAAATAGCAGAATTTAATCCTTAAAACTAAACTCGACAATATTTTTCAGCTATATTTATTTATTTATTTATTTGAGCGACCAACAAGACATACAATATCAGGTACATACACTATATTTAAAAATAGGGCAGATTGCATGCAACCGATTTGATGCGACAGATTTGAATGGCATATTAAACTAAATGATACCCAAGTTGAACTACACAACTTAGGTATAATTTTTTTTAATATGCCAAAATTATTTATATCAAATATATATTTATTGATTTGTTACGAAAATATCTTACCGAAGCAGTCTCTACAAAAAATCATCTGCGGGAGTAGCTAAGCTGTATTTTGAAGGGATAGGGATACAGCAATTAAATTATGGAAACACATCGCGGCTGTCACATGATCACGTACCTCCCTGGTATTACACATGTCTATATTATTAAAGTACAATAGTAGTATAGAGATAAATAATCGTAATTCTTAAACATGTCATTCATACATTCATGTTTGTATAGTAGATGTACTCTATGAATTTTAATAGATAATTTACCCTCTCTAATAGACTAATTAAGTGGAACAGTATGAGGTTGCGGTGAAATTTCCATTATAATTGGAATTGTCTTTAATGGAATATGGATAATGAATTTCACTTCTAAACATGCGGAAAAATAATTATTACATTAATTGAAACAACTGAAAATTACGCAAATTCGAAATGTGATGTTTTAACACAAAAATTGTTCTTCATAGTACTATTGTTAGATTAAGATTTATAAGTTTATTGTCAACCATTTTTTTTAATATACATCGTATATTAAAAAAAAAAGGTTGATTTCTGAGGTTATATGCATATATATCGTATGTATAAAAACAAAACATAATAAAAATTAATTACATTTTAAGTTAAATATATTTTACATTATTTTATTAACATTTATCTAATATTTTTTTTTGTAAATGTTAAATACAAAATAATTGAAATATTGGACGAAATTATATGAAGCTCGATTATACTCGATAATAATTTTACGAACGTAGATCTGTAATATAATAATCATAATAGAGAAGACTATTATAGGATCGTATCCACTTATCGCTATGTATTGTATTTATAGATAACAAATACTGAATATTTAATTGTCACAACTAGAGGCAAGCGCGTCAGAAACGTGTAGCAAACTGTGACGGAGTGGTAATTGGCAATGTGACACGACACGAAACTAATTTGTTATCGGTATACAAGCAATACCTGTCCTTAAACACGACACTACGATCAAAGACATATACTATCGATAATTAATACTAATAAAGTACTGTATCATAAGTCATAATAAGTCTGTATAAAAGATTCTGACTAACGTAATGAGAAATTCGATAAATATCGTGATACTCATGATCTTAACAAAATTGGTAAAGCATCGTTTTATCAACGTATCTTCCATTCCTGTAGGATACGATAAGATGACTTTACTTATTATCCTACCATCCTCCGATACATCGAGAGAGGTGACTAAATGTAATCCTAAAAAAATTATTCGTGTCAAGATCCAATCAAGTAAATAAATGATGTAACAACTCCTGTACAACTGTTTACAAATAAACTGTTTAGTAATCTGAGTTTCTAATATCAAGTTTTCGGACCATTTTATTAAAACCGTACGTTGATAGATCAATCAATTAGTTAGGACAAGCCCGGTATACCTACTTAATATGAAAATAATTGTTGTGTAAACAAAATTCTCGGTAATCCATTGTTTTAATAACATAAATAAAGTTTACACAGAAAACTTCTTAGCGGCTGAAATAGGTGCGTCTATCTTGAGAAAAAAACGTGTTTTATATAGTCGATAACGATTTTCTGGATCTGAATAGAATTGGTGATAATTAATTCAATTATTAAAATTTGTTTCATCACTTATGCGAAAGTTTCAATACTATGCCAATTTTAAAACGGTTAAATTAACGCATAACTATATAACTATCTAATTCCATTTCTTAGTCCATGACAGACAATGAGAAAGCAAATGAGGACTTATAAAATATTAAAAACATATATTAGTTATTATATATTTTTTCAATATTTTAACAATAAATAGTTATTATAATTAAGAGAATAATTTCGCCTTTTATTTTCGTCCCGACCCTCCAAGAGTCATTT